GGTGCATTCCCCCTTGCGCCTTCCCCACCGGTATCCCTCAGCTCCAAAGGCTTCGCGTTGCTTTGAACGCCTTCTCATGGTATTCTTTAAGATGAATATTCTTAAGCCAATTTATGGACAGACACTCAAAGGTAGTACCAGGGGGCTGGTCTTTAAAGGGAATCGGTATTCAGCATTTCATGCTTCCCTTTAGCACATTATCAGAAATTGAGCAGGTCATTTCCTTAGAGCCATTATATTCCAAATACATCAATGAATCTTGGTTTCTCACTTCTCATCTGGCCTCATTGTCTTCCCTGCCTATTCTCTATCCTTCCTATGCCCTCTCCCTTGATCATGAACCTGCTGTCTGCAGCTGGGACACTGTGGCATCGGTGGCTTTTTGCACGTGTATTTGGTTTCCTGCTCATGGCCAACCTGACTAATTCGTTGCTTCCCTTTTGCGTCTCTCGGTAACCAATTATTTCCTTCCCCCCGTCTTTCCTGCTTACTCTTTCATCCGCTCAGACCTCTGCCACATCGACTGTAATTGTACAACAGAGCCTTCAGAGGAGAGAGCACACAGAGACACCACTGGTTCTGATCTGCAGAGACCCCAACTACCCCCGCTGCAGATTTCTTAACGAATGGCTCATTTGTTATTCCGTGTTCTTTCCCATTGCACAAGGGAGCATCTGATAGCGATGGTTGTTTTTGCCGTTAAAATGTGCTGCTTTAAATATTAATCTCCTTTCCCACTGCTGTAACTGTGTCACCTTCAGCCTCTCTCTCGATCTGGCATTTCCAGTCTTTTACATCATCCTCATCACTCATTTTAGAATTTGGCCTCTGCAGTCTCTTCTAAGTATCTCTCTGAATGCTCTGTGAACACATCTAGCTGCATTCCATTGTGAGTCAGTCACGGGATAATGCAAAAGCTTGGACCAAATTTCGGGCCAAACCAGTTGTTGCAAAACACTGCTGGTTATCTGCTCTACCAGTTTCATCCCTGGGCAGTTTCAAAGCTTGATGGAATGCAACTTGGCTACCTGTTGTGTTTTCCGAGGCAGGTCAAACCTTTTCCATTCCAGCAGGCCTTTGGGAATAGTCTAATCCTGTGAGACTATGTTGGACTCTTTATAGTTTTGCCATTTTTAATTTTGGTATTTGATGTAATTTTAATATTCTTTAGATTTTAATTATATGTTTTAACTTTTGTATATTTCTATTCTAATTGTATACATTAAAAGTGTATACATTGTTAATGCTGAGAGCCACCCTGACTCCCAGTATTGAAAACAGGCAGAATATAAATATAACAGCGAGAACAATAGCAACCACAATTCAATGGCAACCCACCCTTGGGATTGTTATGTGCAAACCAGGCTGCTATGAATCTAGAAATGGGCTGATGCCTTGACTCCATTTAAAGCAGCCCAGTGTCTTCACTGTGGTTAAGGATCTCTACCACTTATCCTCGCACTGGTCTTTAAATTAATTTTTGTTTCTGTCTTCAAAGCATCCAAAATAAAAAGGTCTCTCTCCATGTTTAAAATTTCAGCTTGCTGGGAAGAGGTTCCATGTTTGTATTTTCACCCGAACAATTTCAGAGACTGCTCAAAATAAATCCAGATTGGAAATCCCGCAGGCTTCTGGATTTAGGAGCTGGAGATGGAGAAGTCACAAAAGTCATGAGTCCTCACTTTGAAGAAACCTTTGCGACTGAATTGTCTGAAACGATGATATGGCAGCTTCAGAAAAAGAAATACAGGTACCATGCTAAGCGGCCTGTATGCTATATTGGTACAGGTGCTTAGTTGTTTCCACTCATGCACACACACCATCAGAGACAACTGTTGCAAGAATTCCATTGCTGATTTCTAGAGAAGATGGTACATGTCAGGAAAATAGTCTCTAAAGAGAAAATCAAGCGATTCCTTGCACTGTAGCTCACGTGGAGGTGAATGGGAGGCTGTGGAACTTAAAAAAACCCAGTTCCCACATCGTGTGACAGAGAAATGCAGATTCGGTGGCAATAAGTATCTATATATCTATTAGGGAAATATGACTTGTTCTGTTTTTGAGTTGTCCAAATCTACACTGACAGCATAAAAAGAACTCCACATTGCTTTTGCCAAAGCTTAACGTACGTTGCAGCCTAGACTTCTTGAGCAAAGACTGACGCAGAATAGGAAGGGAAGAGCCTGAACTGAATTCTCGTGCAGCTGTAACCCTGTGCATCTTCTCACCCGTACAGAGTGCTCGGCATCAACGAATGGCAGAACACGGGATTTCAGTATGATGTCATCAGCTGCTTGAATTTGCTCGATCGCTGTGATCAGCCATTGACTGTATTAAAAGATATTAGAAGTGTACTGGAGCCTACGAGAGGCAGAGTCATCCTGGCCTTGGTTCTGCCCTTTCATCCATATGTGGAAAATGGTAAGTGCTGAACAGGTGCTTGTCGGCGGGGAAAGGGCATTCTGTGAGTTCGTGAACGTGAAAAGGGCCTTTTTTCAGAGGAGTCGTTCCTTCGGATCAGCCTGTGCAGCCCTGATAGAGGATTGCCTAGGACTGGGGCAAGCTTTAGGGTTGGGAGAACCCTGGGCAAAGTGGCCTCAGGTGAGACTCCCATCATTTGTCCTGCTTGACCTTTCCTGGCATCAGTGCCAGGCAGCAGGATCAGGGAACTGCTGTAATAATTTTCCACGGTGACCTGAATTTCAGGACATTGTGACACATTCAAGTGGTGGCTCCAAGCCCTGGAGGCCTTTTCAATTGGGGTCAAAGGAAGACATTGGCGGGGGTGGGAGAGACCCTGGGAGATGCCCAGGGTTGTCCCATGTTGAAAGCCTGGATGCGACTCTCTCCACAATGACTCAGAGGCTTTGGAACTCCCTGCTGTGTGAGCTTCGCTCTCTTCATTTTTGTCATTGCAGCCCCACATAAAATGACTCTTTCAGAGAGCCTTGGGGTCCCTCTAATCCCCAAGGGGTGGGTGGAAAAGGTCCTCTTCCATGCCAGCCCATGTCCCATAGATCCAACCTGACGACGCTTGGCCCTGCCGTTCCCTCTCACTCTTTTCTTATTATTTGGATCCCACCTCTGATCCCATTACCGTCATGAATACAATGCGATTAGAACAGTAATGCTGCATTAAAGCACCACAAACCACAGCAGTAGCAGAATAAAAATAGCATCCAGCGCAACAGACCTGCTTACATGGCAAAGACCTGCTTGAACAAAACTCTGCCTGCCTGCCAGCAGGACAGCAGAGGAAGGGCGCACCTGGCCTCCTTTGCCTTCCTTTCTGTATTTTGTGCATTGCATCCAGTCTCAGACAAGCCAGCCTCTGTCTGCACACGTTCTTGCTGCCGCCTTCCCTTCTTTGTAAAGCACTTGCGACGCTTCCAGAGACCTTTAGGTAAGGCCTGGGGTATGGCACAGGGAAGTGCAGTGAGGGGCAGGTGGGGGAGGTCAGGGTGCTAGAGGAATGGCCTTGCTTGTGTGGAAGTGCCTCTCCGTTTGTACAACGCGGGCTTAGCTTCTTGGCTTTTATACTGAGGCAGTTCATGTCCTTTTGGACCGAAAGGTAACAGATAAAAAAAATCTAGTTAATTAAAATGGTGGTGAGATGGGTGGAGATCCACCATGGTTTCCTCTTCAGAGGCATCTTCTGAAGTTCCACAAAAGGTATAACCCATGTGCTGAAATGGGCTTCACCTGGAGAAAACGCATCCCTTCACTGTACGTGTGAAAGTAGCTTTTTAAAAGTTGCTCTAACTGTAGGTGGTAAATGACTAGACTGTGCTTGTTTCACATAGCCTTCCCAAACCCTTGGCCACGTGGCTGGGAAATATGGCATTTGAGGCCCAACACGTCTGGAGGAAGGCAGTTGGACGAATGCCTAATACAATTATTTCCTACCTTTTTTCTATCCATGAACTCAAGAAGACATAAAGGATCATGTGAGGCCTTCCATATTTGTCTGACCAATCCCAGGCCTACTTAGCTTCAGCAAGGCTGCTGTTTCACGTGCTTTCGAAATAGTTCCCTCCTGCTTCCTTTGGTGCATGTTAAAGTATCATAATGTAAAGCCTTCCAGTGTGGCAAGCTTTGTTTGCTTGGAGAGCTGACTCCCAAGATTACTTAATTTCAGGTTGACTCATGTTTTTCTAGTAAATCTCTGTGCATCTAACCAAATTAAGCTGGCGTAAATCCCCTTTTAGAAACATTCATGCTTCTCTCTAGTTGCAATAGGGTTTCCCAAGCTTGTATGATAGTTACAGCATGTTCGCTGTGAGGACTCTTAACTGGATAGGGTTAATACCCATGTCTGTTCAGTCAGGCTGGTCCCATTCTCTATACCAGTGGAAGCTGGTGTCAGTCCATGCAAGAGACAGCGACTCAGACTTCACAATTGTTAGGTGAGGGAAGACCAGAGCACCAGTCACAGGATAGAGGTGAGGGGCATCATGCCAGGTAGATCTGTTTGTGACTGAATATGCAGAAACGTCTGGGTGCTTTTCACGTGGCCTTGAGCGGCATGGTTGATACCCTTCCGTGGTTGTTCCTACACTGCTCTGGGAACATCTACGTTGCAAATTCAGCAAAACAAGTCTCCAGAGCACCTTAAAAGTGACTAAAAGCAGCCACAGTGGTCCAACTCCATGGCATACCAAGTGACTTGGGATGATGGCAGCTCATGTCCAGAAGCAAAACAGAGATCAAATTCACGTTTTGGAACAGGAATGAGCAACTCGTGGCCCTCTGGATGTTTCGCTGTGCAACTCCCATTATCCCCCACCCTTGGCTGGCGTTATGGGAGTTGCAGGCCAAAAGATCTGTAGGGTCACAAGTGGCCCACCCTTATTTTAGAATTTCTACCTGGTTGATGTATTTTTTTTCTGGCTGTTAGTACAGGCCTGCCTGCCCCGCAGTCCCAAGTGACATTTCTAACACACACACAGGTGAATCTTGTTGCTGTATATAAAAACATAAATGACAATATTCTATTTATTTAGTTGTTATCAAAACACCCTCACTCACAGAGACAATACAGATTGATAACATCTATTGTACAGAGAAAAGAATAATTCAAAAGCAAATAAAATCGATTTAACCAAAGGAGTGGATACAGTTTGCAACCTATTTGTCATTCTCAGGAATTAGGAAACTCAGCAGGTGAAACAGGAAACTTAGATAGAGAGGGAAATTGATCTGGCTTTGGAATCTGGTTTCTCTTGTCTAGTAGTTCTGTTTCTGCATTGCCCTCAGTTCTCAGACCAGCTTCACCACTCACACTATCTTGGTCTTACTTTATTGCAAACAGTATTCAAGCTTATAAAATATCACTCATGAGGTAGATGTGTGTGTATGCGCGCGTGCACACACACACACACACACACACACACTTCCCCTGTCTGCTCTGCAGTCCATGGAATGAGTTGATTGAGATCCAGTCAAATCCATTGCTCTTATTTGAACTGCATGTATACAAAGGGGAAAAACCCTGAAATTTGTCTTTTCCTAATAGTCTGTAAAATATCACCTTACCAAAAGGTGTCATTTGGTCCTATTTGTATATCACCAGTAAGCACAGACATCTTTAGCGATGCTTCTTTAGCAGATCTAAAGTGCAAGAACCTGGAGATTCTTGCCCTTTCTGCACCTTACCTTGAAGCGATGCAACTTCCATTTCTTTTTACGTGCTTATAATTTATTAGGATCTCCAGGATATGCTTGCTTTTTGCCCTCTTTCCCTCCTGTCACTTGTTTAAGTCCAGGATTCTGTTTGGTAACCACACAATGGAAGTTAATGCAATTTCCTGCTAAGACAATCCCCTTATAGAGATTGAGATGTTAGAAATGTAGCCTTCCCCAATACCAGACAGACTGTTCTTTTAAAGAACACAGATGTTCTAAAGGTAAGCAGAAAGCAACAGTAAAACTGATGTATGAAGGGAAGATAAAAGTAAACAAAATGGGAAAGGAGAGAATTCCTGAAGGCACCCTTAAGCTGCCACTAGAAAAAATATGAAGGACGTTTACAGATGCTGTGCAGACTTACAACAAACTGTTGCTGCTATTCAGGATTGTAGCTACTTCATTCCATTCCCCCTCCTTAGTTTTCTACCTCTGCTCCTCCCATAATGCACTTTTTGGTAGCCATGGAGTGTACTCAATCCTCACTGAGCTATTTTAGGGATTCCCCCCTCCCCATTTTCCCCTGAATTTATGTACTCGTTTTAATTTCTGCAAACATTGGGGGATTCTGCGAGCCTGCCAAGGGGATGATGCAGAGTTTTCTGCAGAAGTGACCGCACGATCACCTGGCCTGAATGTGAAATAGAAAGAGGGGTGATAAACACAGGATCGCTACCAAGCGTACGCTCAGTGGGGCTTTGCAGCCAGTGCTGGGCATTCACCTGAGCCTGCCGTGGGAGGCCTGTGTGAACATGGCAAAATAAATTCTGTTTGAGCATGTAGGTCAAAATGTAAAGTGCAAAACGGATTTCCGTGTTATTGCCTAAAGAATCCCTGTGAAATACTTGGCAACCAATGTACAAGGTGTTCACATAGAAGTTTACTGTTCTGCTGTGGAAAAATCCTATATTTACACCTCATTTTCCTCTTTCATATATTGTCTTAGGAATTTCTAGATCAGCGTGCTTCTTAACTAAGGCCATGTTGTCTGGGAGCACTGGTAGCTGTAGTCTAAGGCGTTTGGAAGTCATCCGGCTGGGAAAGGCTGATCTCAGGGAAATGAATTTGCCTTCAGATCCCTGTGGCTCACCCATGTGCAGAGCTGAGGCAATTCCTGGCCATCCTGTAAAGACTGTATTATTAAATCTAGGTAGGAGAACAAATTCTATGCAAAATCGTTTGCTTTTTAAATATAGTTTTGTACAGGCATGTTGTAAAAACATGTTAACCTTCTTCCATTCATTCAGCATCTGAGCCACATTTTCAGTTATGCAAAATTGCTGAAATAAAGTGGATGATTTATGATGGTTTATCTGTTTTCTGATGGTTGCCAAATGCCTTTGTAAGAAAAGAAAGAAAAGAAAATGGCATGTTCAGTAACTTGTTAGTACAGCGGGCGAAACTCACCAAGTGGCATGATCCCAAAAGTTCACACTAGAGGTAGCCCGTGCACCACAGTTTGCAATCTCATTATTTTAAAACTACCATATAATAGCAGTAGCAACATTCTAGTAGAAGAACCTTGCTGCATCTTGTCTTCCCAAACCCTTGCAAATTTTCCAATTTTTACCCAGTGAAGGTGTTGTTACACCATATAAGCATCTGTTGTCAAGGTCAAAGATTAGTTTTCTACATAATTCTATTATCTGGAATATTTGTATGGTAGATTGGCATTCCTCTTAATGCTGACACTCACTCTGTATTTTGCTTGGCATTCTCATTGTCCATTTATACAAAATGCATTTGTGTATGAGTTGCAGAAGAATGGTGCCATCGGCAGAACTGCGACATTACCTATCCTATGTTAGGAATGGGGACGGAAGCACAGGAAACATTTGTGTGCATTGTTGCACTTAGAACAGAGCACATAATTTAGTGTTTGTGCTACCGCTTTGTTCATTATCTTTTCCCCAGCCCAAGAGTTGCTGACATCCCCTGATTAATGATGTAAACTCACTTCCAGCCAGTGTAATATTGTAGGTGACTTACAAGCCTTTGCTTTCTCTTCTTTTTGAGGAACTCCTTTGCAACTGCTCGGCAAACTGCTTCCCTGCTTTCTTTCACCTAGAAATTTAAAAGAGGCTTTGAACACTTGACCTTGTTCTGCCTAGCAGTTTATAGCAGGCAGAAGCTGTAGATGTGTAAACTGAAACTGTGGGAACATTCATTTCCAGTACTGCTGAAGGGAAAAGTAATGGGGCAGCTGCTGTTCGGAGGTTTAGTGCAGGCATAGAAAAACCTCGTTCGTTCATTGAACTTTTTCTTGTTTGTACCAATGGCACAGAAAGTGTGACCTTCTGGATGTTGTTGGACTGCAGTTCCCAGTCGCCTTAGCCAGCATAGCCAGTGGTGAGGTACAGTGGGAGGAGCAGGCCAGACATCATCTGGAGGGCCACATGTTCCCCATCCCTGGTCTACATGTTCCCCATCCCTGGCCACATGTTCCCCATCCCTGGCCACATGTTCCCCATCCCCTACTGGCAACGGTTCTCAGGTCTTTTGCAGCCCTCCCCTGAAACGCCGAGAATAAAACCAGGGCCTCTTTCAGGCAGAGTATGTGCTCAGGGGCCAAGCAACAGCCTTGTCGCTTTGGGAGTGGCCTCTTCCATGTGGGCTAGGGTGCTGGATGGCACCCAGGAAGCCCTCTTCCTCCCCACACACCCAATGTGCTTCATTTCTTGGATTTGCTGCCACTGGGCATTCATTGGTTTTGGAAAGTCTCCTGAAGCCCCATCCTTAGAAGGCAACCTTGTGTTTATCCTCTCTTTCTCCCTCCTGGAGCTGCCCCTGCTTCCTGCCCAATTTAATTACACACACACACACACACCCCTCTTAACTACTGGTTTCAGCAAGTCATCAGTTTTCTAGAACTTAGGAACTGGAGTCCATCTCTGTTGCTTTCCGACCTTTTCATTTTTTTACAGCAACATTACACAGACTTTTTTATGGGGAAGCTTCCTGGCTAGCTGACTTCTTTCCCTGCCCTTTTGTAACATGATAGAGAGGGAAAGTTGGCTGTGGAACTGGGCAAGAGCATCAAGGGAAGGAAAGGACAGGATAGCACAAGAACTGGTCCACTGCGGAACAGATACACCAAAAGGAAGTCAGGGTTTAGCAAGATGCAGCCACCAGTTTAGCGAGGTATGACTACTTCCCTCTCTTGCATCCTTCCCGCTCCACCGTCTACCCTCTGTGGTACTAAGCATGATTGTTTCCCACTGGGCTGTTTTGAAGGCTTCCCCTTTAAGTCTGCCTGCACTTACGCAGGCGCTGGGGTTTCTCTGAGCCTCCCGTGTGTCTGGTGCTATTCTGGCTACACAGAGATCGTCACCCACATAGTGAGTTTTCCATTAATACTTTGGAGGGCAAATACTTACACCAGCGTTGTGCTTTCCTTTCATGCCCCCACTCTCTGTTGGCTTGAGTTTTGGCTGTAAAACAAAAGGGATGGCTGGTCTGATTATATATTTTAACAAAGAGGACGATTGTATAGAAGTTGAGGATGTGAAAACTTGTTAGGGCTATTGCGGGCGGTTGTAGGTAACAGTTCTTTTTTATTTTTTATTGAAAGGAATATGTTCTGTATTGTGGATGTCAATTTTTCCAAAAGTGAAGGTGGTTTGGGGTGGGGAGCAAAAGCAGAGGAGAAGCTGGAAGTTGCATAATTCTTGGTTTGCTGGGTTTAAGCAGGTTCAAATCCCAGCTCAGCCCTGATGATCTCTGGGTAATCTTGGGCCGGTAACATTCTGCATCCATTTCACAAGGTGATTGTGAAAATAAAACATGTTTGGGGAAGTGGGAAGGGCCCATGTGTGCCACTTTTGGTTCCTTGGTCAAGATAAAAATGTATTAATATGATTTTGGATTGGTCCCTTGGTTCACCAGTGTCATGATTCATCTGTGTCATATGTATGTATGTTGATATGTTGGCGACATACAGGTGTGTGAGGGGATGTCACACGGAGATGGGCAGACACCTGTTCTCCCCTGCAGAGGAAGGCAGGAAGCGCTCCAGCGGAGCAAAGGAGCCAAGGTTCCATTTGGATGCCAGGAAGCACTTCCCGACAGTCAGGACCCCAAGTGTGTGGAATGGGCTTCCACGGGAGGTCGTTGAGGCCCCATCAGTGTGGGTGTTCAAGGACAGGCTGGACGTCCACATGGTGGGCATGTCGTGAGCAGAGCCGGCTGGTGCCGGAGGTCAGACTAGATGGCCCGGGAGGCCCCTTCTGACTCGCTCTGTTTCTATGTTTCTATGATTCAACAACAACGGTGGTCAGCTGGGTTGAAATGCCATGGCAGAAGTGTCCAACCTGTGGCTCTCCAAATGTTTTCTTTTCCGTCAGCATTAGCCCGCATAGCCAGTGGCGAGGGAGCATGGAACTGTAGGCTAAACATTTGGGGGGTCATAAGTTGCCCACCACCACACTTTGGGCTTTAGCTGCCTTCCCTAACCCGCTGCCCTCCAGCTGTTTCACCTTCTAGCTTTCACCACCCCTTCCCAGTATGGCTAATGCTGTGGAAAGCTGAAAATTGTAGTTCTGAACATCTGGAGAGCACCAGGTTAGGGAAAGCTGAGGCTGAGCATCCGCTGCCCCTTTTTCTTACGTGCAGAATTTTTCTCTTTGAACCCCGGTTTGTCCCGACATTTACCTTCAGACATAGTTTGCAAACCCACTTCAGTTTGGACCTTGTGGCAAAACCTAGTTAGTGGCAATCCAGAAATCGGGGAGGGAATTTGCACTTGGGAAGGGAGTAGGCAAGTCTGAGAAATCCAGGCCACAGCATGCTTTTTCTGTGTTGGGGGCCAACTCAGGAACAGGATTAACTGAGAAATGCGAGTAATTCCTAGCTTTACTAGGAAGGGTCTTAAATGTCATGTCTACATTTGTTAATGGCAAACAACCCAAATAATGCCAGGTTGCTAGAAGCTGTTTATTTCTGTTCTGTTCTGTTCTGGTCATCCGGGGTATCTCAATAATTTCACAGTACTTGATTTAAAGCAAGCACTGAAATCCACTTCTAGTGTTTGTGTTTGGTCAAAAAGAAAAATCCCTGAGGGACAAGGTATGTGTGGAGCCGGAGATCAGCCATGAATGGGAGGAGAGGTCAAAGCCCCCTAATCTGGTTCTTCTGCTCTAAAAATCTACCCCAGAGTGAGGAGAGGCGCTAGTTTAGAGACAGAACACATGCTCTGCCTACAGCCGGTCCTAGCTTCCATGCCCGGTATCTCAAGGAAGGGTGAGGGAGGAAGACCTTGGGGAGCTGTTCTGTTCTGCTAGAATCCTGCCCACCCAGGGAATACAAAAATAGGTGCCAGGTGCAGAAGTGTGGCTTGGGAAGGTGGGTGTAGATTTGTCTTGACCTACTAGGGTTGGAAGAAAGCCAGAGAAATAGAGTATAATAGAGGCAAGAACAGGAGCTGGAGAAAGTGGGAGATGCCCCTTAACATAAGCTCAGCCTGGGAATTAGTTTCCGATACAGACTGGGCGCCATGTTTCTATCCCACCCTGAACTTCCTTGCTTGGTTTGGGAGATGTGGGGATGGTTCATTTTAAAACCATCTGGAATCAGAAACACTTGCTAACTACCAGAGATTGACTGGTAGACTACAGTCTGCCTTCTACCCACCCTGCCATCACAAGTACCAAACTAGAGGAATTTTTCATGAAGAATATTTCCAATAGGCTTTCTAATAGGATCTTGCTTGTGGCAACATTTACAAGCAAGAAAACAAATCAAAATGCAAACTTTACCATATTTCAGATACACCCGGAAGACACACAGATTATGGCATACACTTTCATGAACTGAAGTCCATTTGAAAAGATGAATAAAATGTTATCCCGGGTTACATACCCCTGTTTCTGTGGGAAGGAATAGTAAGGACTGGGATCAGAAGGAAATGTGCCAAAGAAATAAACATCAGTTGTGAAGAGCCAATAGAAATCAACCAACAGATAGGACAAAAGCCAGTTGTGAGAGCCAGTGTGGTGCAGTGGTTAAGAGCGTGGGACCGAGACTCAAGCAACCTGGATTCTAGTTCCCATTCAGCCATAGAGCCAGCTGAGTGGCTTTGGGCCAGTTACAGACTCTCAACTCAACCTACCTCACAGGGTTGTTGTTCTGGGGATAAGATTAAGAGGAAGCGGAGGATGTATGCCACTTTGAGTTCTTTGTGAGGAGAAAAAAATAGGCAGGCTATAGATCTCATAAATGAATGGATGACTGAATGAATAAGAGTGTTTCTTGGATGCCACCCAAAAGGGGACCAGAGGGGAGAGAGTTCCAGAGTTTGGATATAGACCTGAAAGGACCGTGTCTCATGTCAGAGATGAGAGATAATGTAATCTCTAGCTCTTAAAACTCCAGCAGACTTGTACTGGAGTATGTGCTCCTTCAGGTATCCTGGTTTTAAGCCATTTGGGGGTTTTAAAAGTCAAAACCAGCACCTTAATTTGGCCTCAGAGATTGGAAGCTACTGGTGTTGTTTATAGAAGAACATCATGTGTTCCCCATAACCTGGCCATCGAAGCTCCTGGCCGTGACATTTTGAACTAGTCTGTGAATGCTGTTCAGAGAGCAGCTATTGCAGTCCTAAAGGACTAGTGAACTGAGCCAGTATTAAGCAGCTTCCAGTGTCCACCTGTGCCTTCTAAGATTTTTTTAAAATGGACTTGTTCCCTTCATATCTTATTTAGCCCAGAATGAAAAAAATAATTTGCAGAAATGCAGAAGATGCAACCGTCCTATTCCCTTTGTGTAAAATATATTGTATTATACAGTACACAAGCAGGCTCGCAACCCCCAGCTGTCTCGAATTTCCCCCCATGAAAACATTTCAAAGCTGTTTAAGAACTTGTGCAGGAGCTGAGAGAGGGAGAGGGAAGATAATAAACATACCTTGGAGAGGAACATAAAAATTGCCAATAGGGCAATGAGGTATAAGATCAGCAGTGATATGATGACCAGCGGGATGGTAATTCCTCGATCTTTATTAATAACAAACAAAAAGAATGCAGTTGTTTTCCTTTATATATGTATTTTATATTATTGCTACAATATTTATTTATTTATTTATTTATTTATTTATTTATTTATTTATTTATTTATTTATTTATTTATTTATTTAGGGAACTTCTATGCTGCCCCATTCGCCAAAGCCTTGGGGCGGCTCACAACATAAATAAATAACATATAAAACAATATAATTTAACAATATAAATTAAGTCACCCTGGCCAAAGAATAAAATAAATAAATAATAGTAACAATTAAAATAACATTTAAATATAATCGTTATGTTATTCTTGTTCCAGTTTGAAGATTCTGCATTGGGTTCATACATTGTTTGATATAGGAAGCTGCCTGAACTGGGTCAAACTATTTTCTGTCTTAGCCCTGTATTGCCCATTCTGTTTTGCTAAGGCTCTCCGGGGACACAGGGATAGTTTTTTCCCATTTTTTGTTACCTGATCCTTTTAACAAGAGATACCAACAAACTCGGAACCTTCTGCATACAAACCCTGCAGTCTGCCCCTGAGCTGTGGACGTCACACCCTCGTGCTTAATATAAATGTATTAGCTGGAGTGTAAATTCGTGCCTGCAGGTCGCCAGACGCTTTGGTTTGGAGCACTGCCTGGCAAAGCATTTCAGATCATGCAGCACCTCATGGAACTTGCTATAGCAGCTCGTGGCAATAGCCCCCAGTGGAGTCAGACAGATGCATGGAAGATGCATCTCTCAGCAGTCACTAATTGTGATAATTAAATGGAACCTCTGTGCCCAGAGGCATTTTACCTTTGCATGCCAATTGTTGTGGGACAAACGAAGGAAGGCTGGCATGTTCATGCCCTCTCTGTGTGTTTCTTGGAAGCACACTGGTAATCATTGATGGAAACCGAATGCTTTAATAATGGGTAATTGTGTTGTCTGAACCCAGCCGAGAGAACATATCTTGGTGAACAGCCTACAGTTCAGAGCCCAGCTATAAACCATGGTCTCTTTCCATGAGTTGTTCTTGGTTAACAAGCCATGGTTGGTTACTGCAGCTGAGTTCAGACAACACAGTCACATTTCATTCCAGACTTGTCCTTTGTCTTGGTTATTGTGTTGTCTGAACCAAGTCACTGTGGCATGTTGGACGAGGACTTGAAAGATATGATTTCTGTTCTCCGCTTAGCCATGAAGCTCAATGTGTGACTTTGGACAAGTTTAAAGGGAAAGGGAAAGCTAAAGGCTTCCCCTTGACGTTAAGTCGAGCCATGCCTGACTCTCGGGAGCGGTGCTCATCTCCGTTTCCTAGCCGAGGGAGCCAGTGTTTGTCTGCCGACAGTCTCCACGGTCATGTGGCCGGCATGACTAAACACCAAGGTGCACAGAACGCTGTTACCTTCCCACCAGTGGGAAAATTGTTTGTTTGTTTGTTTATGAAATGTATAGGCCGCCCATTACTGTCGTCTCTGGACGGCTTACAATATATTATAATCCTGAACCAAATAAATTGGCTACACCACGACTGTAACCTACATTTCATGGTTGTCATGAGGATAACACGGACAGTAAGAGGATGATCACAAATGCTGCTTTAAATTATTCAAGGAAAAATAGGACATAAATGTAACAAATCAATAAGTGTGATGCTTAACAGGTGGCTTCCAAACAAATTCAATGAATAAATAAAATTACTGCTTTGTAAGCTGTTCTGAGAGATAATCTGGCTAATCAAACAAGTTATAGAAACCTTAAATAAAGGATAAATAAATAACATGTTGGTCTGACCAAGCTCATGATCTTATGCATGTCTTCTTCAAGGTGAGTCCTACTGATTTTAATGGGATGAAACATTGAATTTGAGATTTCCATGAGGCTCGTTTCTGTGAGGGTCTGTGGTTGATGAGAACATGGGAACAGAGTCAAGCCATCAGTCGAGCTAACCTAGTTTTGCCAACTCTGACTGGCAGCCGTTCTTCAGGGTCTCAGGTCACGATTTTTCCCATTACCTGCCACCTGACCCTCTTTACTAGAAATCCCGGGAATTTTCACTAGAATACCAGAAACCCAGGACCTTCTGCATGCAAAGCATCTGTTGGAATTTAATGCGATATTTATAACCTTCCAGGGTGAATTTGCCGTTCCCCTGTGGTGATTATGGTTGAGGTTAAAATAAGAACAGCTCTGCTGCATCGGATCCAGGATCCATCTGGTCCACCATTTTCTTCACACAGTGGCCAACCGGCTGCTCACAGGATCCTGCAAATGGGCTAGCAGCTTGCTCCTTCCCATGTTCCCCAGCAAGGTGTGCATGTAAGCATACTGCACCCAATGCTAATAGCCAATCAGGGTTGGCTATTGATAGCCTTCTCCTTGATGAAGATAAAACAATAAGCCACATTATAGGTACCTATTTTGGAATGGAAGGAAGGACCTAAATCTGTTAAATAAATCTCAAATTAGCGACTGACCTCTTACGACCAATACAGTTCCGTTCCCAGTTTGCTTGGAGGTGATTGCCTTCGAATGAGTAGATGCTATTCCACAGACATAAATTGCACTGTCTCCCACACTGAGATGGTTGATCTCAAGCAAATTCTCATGTTTGGATGTCTTGGGATGTACTTTGAACTTGGTCGTGTTTGTACAGGTAGGATCGCACAGAACTTCATGGGTATGTGCAAGAAATCGCAACCATAGTATCTTTGGAGCGAACCGGCCACATCGCTCAGAAGAATAATTGCATGGTATAGTAACACTGTTCAGTGAGGTCTCAGCTTCCATGAACGGAGGTTGCGTTGCTGTCACACTGCAATTGCTGGCTTCTGTTGAGAAGGAATTTTAAAAAATCCAGATAAGAAAGAAAGGAAAGGAGAATCCAGAAGAAGGTGACCACTTAATGGTTTCTGTTGGTGTGCTAGGATGTAGGAATGCACTAACCTTGAAGTGTGCAGTCGACAGTTTCGTATTTCAGTCAGTGCTGATCTTTGTGTCGGGACCTATTGAGCCAGGCAGGCCTTTGTGCAAACAGGGCCTTTGCTTTTCAGGGATGCTCCAGTGATAAAAACCAAGCATTTCATTACATTACAAATGGATTGCAAATAACTCCCTCCATGAAGCACAAATTACAAGTCAGAGAAACACAAGCAGCTGTACTTCTCCTTTGGAAAAGGCAGCGGTTTGGTGGCTCTGGAGCCTGGTCAGCGGACTCTGGATTCCAGCCAGAGGTGGTATTTGGGGGCGGCCCACCGGAACTGGAGCGCTAAGCCATCTTGCTCTCCATCCTGCTGTCCACGAGCAGTATTAATAGGTGACTCCCTTGGGCATGGACCTTTTGAGCAGTGCCATCACCTGTCCTAATTCAAGCCTATGTCTTCCCTTGAAACTCAGTAGCTTGATGGTTACGGCAAAACTTCAGACTCACTCCATTCCCAGAGAAATGGGAAGTGTTGTAATAAGGGATTTGAGGTGATCCTGAACATGTTTTCCCATCCCCAGTTATACTCTGTAGTCACCAGTTGTTTTCCTATCCCACATAATTTTCTATATCACGCCAGCTGTTTCCCCAGAGATCTCTCTAGGCACATGGAGGGCTCGTCCTAGAAGCATTTTGCAGCCTGAGGCAAAGCAGCAAATCGTTCCCTCCAAAACACATACCCCAAACCTGCTCAAGTATATAACAATTCTCACAGCCAGTCTCATTGTCTTGGCCCAAGGCAGAAAATCCTACAAGATTTTGTCCCCTTCTCTGACAGTGAAAATGCAAGAATAACAATATTAAAAGAAAAATCTGCTGCTTTTTCCTGACATCCTGAATCAGCTCTCTACAGGATGAGGCAAAATGTGGTATATCCTTCTCAATGTTGCATTTTTCTTTCAGAAGTAAACCTTTTGTTAGAAAATCGTTTCAGAAGAAAAGCTTCATTTTTCTCCTTTCATTTGCCTCAGCTCACCCCAGCCAAATCTTTGCAAGTCTGTCCATTCTTGATGTTCTCTAAGAACTTCTCCTGGCCAAGTGAATGACACCTAGAAGAATTAAACAATAAGGATCACTTACCAGTGCAATAGAATATCCTTATAAATTCCAGCACCAGGACTAGAACCCATCGTTTGTGTGCTAACATTTTGCCTACAGGTTTCCTCTAGAAGTGCTTCTGCTGAAGAAAGTGGAACTGAGAAAGCCTGAAATGAAAACCTTTGTCTGTTACTGTTCTTCAGATTGCCCAATAGAGGAACTTCCTGAAAATGGGGTGTAAATATAGCACAATTTGTATCTGTGTTAAGCGAGCATAATGCTTTATTGGCTGGAAGACATTCACTGCATTCGGAATGACTCAATACATTGTGCTGAAAACAGCAGGTTCTTTTGCTACCAGGAGGGTGGAGAGAGTGAGCCGAGTTCAAGTTCACGCGAAAGCCAAGAAGTCCAAAGGGTCACAAGACCATTACTTAATTCCACGTTTCTTCTTCTAAGATGAGGGGTGAGGGAGATCATTCCCCCTCCTGCTCTTCTTACTACATTTCTTCCTCTTGCAGGAAAACCAAAGGCAGTTTTCACCCCCCTCCGCTTCATTTTATTCTCACAGCAAGAACCCTGTGAGGTAGGTTAGGCTGAGAGTGAGGGTCTGGTCCATGGTGAACCAGTGAGCTTTCTGGCCTAGTGGGGACTAGACCCCACATCTCTCAGGTCCCTCGCCTGACACTCTAAGCACTACCCCACGCTACCTTTTTTATCCTCCTGTAATAAAACCTTGTGAAATGGGGTTCAGCAAAGATGGGTCCAAGGTCAGTTCAGTGAACGTATTGGTTAAGTAAGGATTTGAACCCTGGACTGCCCCTTCTGGTTCAGTATGCTACCCATTTTATCACACTGACTCAGCCTGCAGTGGAGGAGAACACCTTCCTTAACCACAGGTGCTAGGCTGGTTCCTAGCCAGAGAGCCCATCATGGTTCGGGCCTAGCTAGCCAGGCCCACGCCGGAGCCTGGGGTGCGGGCAGCAGGCCTCCGGGCAAAGGCAGTGGGACCCAGACAAGGGCCAAGCCTAAACATTGCCTGGAGTCCATTCATTGGCTCAGAAACAGCGTCGCGGTCAAGAAACGGGCCGAAGTGAGGAACTGGGAATGTCAGAACGCACAAGGGTGCATCCTGCGTAAACTGAAAGCCAAGAGCCAGGAAGGCAATCCATGCAGTCGCTGCAGCAGGATAAAACCAGGCAGGATTCGGGAGCAGCAGGAGTTACACTTAAGTAGGACGAGGCAGTAAGGCAGGAACCAGATGCAGCAAAGGTCTGGCAAAACGCAGGAGCCGGACCACGCCAGCACTGCAGCCGCTGGAGGGAGGACGGAGCTTGCCCGTAGCTAGCTCTCACCCAGCTGGCACTCCTCAGGAGTCCGAGAGCATCCGCACGGCCTGGGACTAACCCTGCAATTCCTAGGGCGCCTGTTCTAGTTCTGGCTACCAGATGGAGACCCAGAATTGCCCAGGTGCTGACAGCCCCCTCCATGGGCCGTCACGGCCTGTCAGATCAGCCCAGCGGTTTCATCCTAATCGCTCCATCGGTGTGCCAGTTTCGACTCTCAAACACACATGCAGGCATCCTCCGTGGCAAGCGCCACTAGTGTGAAACTTCTTTTCCCCAGTGATCTGCAAAGTCCTGGCATGTTTAGGGGAGCCTGCTCAAATTTTGAACTTTCTCATTTTTCATAACTTGATTTAAGTTTTTTATGTGTGGGGCGAAGGGGGATCTTGCCTTCTAGTTCTTTTCATCCTTGCATGTATATTCCGTTTCGTTTATACTGAAAGAGCCAGTGTGGTGTGGTGGTTAAGAGCACAGGACTGGGACTCAGGCGATCCGGGTTCTAGTCCCCGCTCAGCCACAGAGCCAACTGGGTGACTTTGGGCCAGTCACAGGCTCTAATCCTAACCTACCTCACAGGGTTGTTGTGAGTGTAAAGTGGAGCGAAGAAGCAGCCTTGGGTTCTTTGCAAGACAACAGGCAGGGTATAAATGTAATAGAATAATAATAAATGATGCTGTTAGAGTGGGATGTTCTGCTTTGTAGCTTGCGTAGTTCTTTTTTAATTAATCCCCTAAGAAATCAAACTGCACTTGGAGGGGTGGGAACGTGTTGAGCATCAAGAGAGACATTGGTGACATTGATTGGGACTTGATGCGCACTGGCATCATGTTGGTGACACCGAAAGGCAAGGTAAAAAGAGACTTTAAAAGTTATCTGGGGAAAAAAACCCTAACAAAATCCATATGTTTTCTCAGTAGGTGGCAAGTGGGATAAGCCATCTGAAGTTTTGGAAATCAAAGGACAGACGTGGGAGGAACAGGTGAACAGCCTGCCAGAGGTTTTCAGGAAAGTTGGTTTTGCCATAGAGTCATTCACTAGACTGCCGTACTTATGTGAAGGCGACATGTACAATGACTACTACGTCTTAGATGACGCTGTCTTCGTCCTCAAGCCAGTGTGAACATGTCTTCTGAGTCCAACCCAAGAAGCAGCCTGTGAATGAAGCATTTTGATTTGGGGATTTTTGGTTTTGTGGGGTTTTTTATTATTATTAATTACAGGAAGGGAAGAAAAAAATTGTGGTTGTCCATTCTAAATCAACATCACATATCAAGTCTAAAGGTCAAAATACTAATTTCTTTGTAGTATGTTTGAAAAAGGACATCTTTTTTAAGAGAGACCGAGTTCTTCTGTTGATGATTTCTTAATTGCCACAAGACACCTGCAATCCAACAATAATCTGAAGATATTTTTATACCTAACCATGGTGGGTCTCACAATCCGGCCAGTGGCCGCATCGCTATGGGTGCTGGTCCAGTACAGCTGGTTTTCCTCAATGAGACAAGGAAGGAATACTGGTGATAAAACTGTTCATTCAGTATAAAACTGGTGGATCAAATGTTGGGATGTGGTTTCTTCCATGTTTATGAAATTATTTTAACTGTTGGTCTTCAGCACATGTTTTTAATCATGCTAATAAAACTTTTTTTGAGATGAGTCTTGTATCTAATATTCAATTGTGTAAATGAATATTAAAACTAAACCTGTTTAAATTTAGACTAGCTTATTAGAGTGTAATCCGATGAGGCTCTTTGGAGAAGAAACTTTGGAGAAGATGCAGGCAACAAGGTTCTTCCATGGTGTTCCCAAGCATGGAACAGTTTTCCAGACTTGGAACTGGGTCTTTAAATAATCCCATAGCTGCCTAGATGTTCTGCAGGTGCCATAGAATTGCTCTGCCTGTTAATATAGTTAGTGACAAGATTTATCCAATCGGTGAACAATAAAACAAAGATAAATCCTCATTGAAACTATTAAAAACAGCTTGCAGTGATAAAAACTTTGGTGTATCTAAGGTCTATTTAAATAAAATTATCTTCAGCAGATGTCCCAAATGAAAAAAAAAACCCCTTGTTACCTGCAGGCTGGGAGTTTCATAGAGGACAGGTACAATAAAGGCCCCCTGGACACCAACTGGTCTCCACCTGCAGAACCACCAGGATTACCTTGGCTGGTAGACTCAGCAACTGGATGGGCTGGGAAGAGAAAATCCACTCACATTGATGGCTTTTGCTTATGAATTTATAAAACTGCCCTGCGATGTCTCCGCCCATTGCCCTGCCTATTCCAGAATTCGCCTCTCTGATCTGCCACAGCTTGGGCAAACCCTTTATCCAGGCACATGTGATCCTTACCTGGATATACCGAGGACAAAATCTGGGAACTTGCGTTTCTACTGACATACGGCCCTTCTCCACAGCCCAGGTGAACTTATGCCACGGCCTTACACAATCTCGGACCATGGGTCCGTTCAGTCTAGTAACGCCAATTCGGAATGGGCAACAGCTTTCCAACACACAATAGATCAATCTTTTTCCATCTCACCAGAACAAGCTCTACACGGACCAGCCTTTGAAAAGTGCTCAGAAACTTCAGCTGGTCCAGAACTCTGCAGCTAGACCTGTAACCAGGAACTGTGTGACTTCTTTTGTTATACAGGATACAGAATGATGTAAGCTGCCTTGAGCCCTTTGTAGGAAAAGGCAGGATATCAATAGAAAAAAAATAGTCCTGGAAACTATAGACATGAAGCTCACTGGTGACTTTGGGCCAGTCACACACTCAACCCAAAGTCACCCAATCCTTGGCTCCATAGCTGAACCCAGATCACCTGAGCCCCGGGCTCCACAGTTCCAGCGTTCCTCTGTTGCTTCTCCCCAAATGAAATAACCCCATTCTGGGCGCCTGCAGCTTTCTCCAGCTTGTGCAGTGGATCGCAGCCTGTGACCCCATGAAGCTAGTAAAACTTGCTGCGACCTGCTATGCCATTCCCTCCCGCCTAGAGGGCAGTGCAACACAACTTTTCGGATAGCGTTACCGGTAGAGGCACCAGAGACATTGAGAATGCTGCTCACCTGTGCAGGACAAACTTTCTGTTGAGGGCCAGCAGCCAAGAATTTCAGTGCAGCTGCCACAAATAATAGGGTGAAGCATCATTCAACTGGGGAGGAGTACGTAGAAAGAAAGAAAGAAAGAAAGAAAGAAAGAAAGAAAGAAAGAAAGAAAGAAAACACTGAGAAGATTCAAGAACATCTGCCTTTTCTTAGTGTTCTTTGCTGGCCCCTGGTCCACCAGGAGAAAAGCTTTCAACCTGATAGGCCCATTTCTATGGAATTTCCTCAATCCGAAGGTCAAACAGGTACCAAAATGGGAAGCCATTCCTGCTGCTCAGCTACAGTTTTAAGACATCCTTGTTTTAATGTATGGTTTTCATTCTTTCATCTGTTTTAGCTTTGTACCCTTCACCTGCCTGGATATGGAGTGGTCTACAAATACTGTAAATACATTACTTAGTATTATTTTCACTAAAGCTTTAAAGGGAAGCTTTCACTAAATTATATTGAATAGTGATAGCTCTGAGAATGCATTTGGAATGTGTTAGTAAGCCTGAGGTATTGAATTCTCAGCATATGTACATAAAAACTCCAGGGCTGTGAAGCCATCATGAGTGAGTTGTGCTCTCCAGGCCCTCTCCACAAGATTGCCCAAGCCTCTTCTTATTTGCAACTGGCAACAGAAATAAAAAAGGAAATAGAAAGACTTTAGGCTCAGCTCTACTCAGTCTTCTTGTTAGCCAGGCTTTGGCTATCTGGGCGATCTTC